CATGCCTTTAAAGCCACATGGCCAAGCCTCTCTCTCAGGTGCATTCATTTTGTCTTAGGCTCTTCTCTCTTTCTCACTTTAAGCAAGGATCACACACATTCAGTCTTCCCCCTTTTTTAAAATTTGAATTACTACATGTAAGTGACCTTCCCTTCTCTAAGCCCGATGATGTATTTTTCTCACTGCTGCTGTTGCCCATGAACCTAAGATTCAGCCATCCCATCCTAGAAGACAAGCTTCAGAGTCCTGGACTGAAGACTCAGGTGCTTGTTCACAGAGTCATGCACCTTTGAAACTTCCCTTTAGCGTGTCTTTTCCTAAGGCCATGGCCACCAGCAGACCGAAGAGGGTGTGTTGGTTATTTTAATACAGCGCCTTTTCTTTCCAAGTCTGTCTTTTTACATTCATGATTACAATGCTGTTGTTATGCAAATATTAAAATGATATTTATGTTTGTATTTAAAATCGAGTGGTTATCTCTGTTTACTTTGGTACCCGGAGACATTTTTTTCAAATGTTTTATTGCCACTGTAAAAATATTGACATTTTGAAGCGGCTGCCTGAACGTGGAGGCGCCTGCTCGGAGGTGGCGGAAAGCAGCTGTGCGGGACGTGCCTCGTGTTTCTGCCGGAAGGAGTGTGAGCGTCCCTTGTCACCATGTGCCTCCCTGCTCTTGTTTTCAGGAGTGATCAAGAAGTCTGGTGTGGAACAGAGGATGGCATTAGGATTTCAGCAATATTGTCATTAGAGGCTGTTTTTAGTTTTCTTACTCAGATGTTGAACTGTTACGTTCCCAGAAATGGTCGGAGAAATTACGGTTACAGAATTAAAACTGGGTGAGAGGGTGAGGTTGGGTGAGCACCTTCCGCAGTAACCAATAACTGCGGGGCTGCAGGGAGCTGCTGAGGGAAGAGGTGGTGACTTCCTTTCAAGTGAATCTTAGCTGATTAATAGTTTATTTTATCCAGTTCGTTTCTCCTACCCAGCTGTAGTCATGTTTTCGAAGTCTCCTTCCCCAGCATTTAAGGGGGTCTGGTAAAGGCTTTGCATGGTTGTAGTACTTTGCACACAAGAGACATTTTCTTTCTCCTATGTCTATGTGTCCATGCAAATATTTAATTTTTTTAAATAGCTTGTAGCATTGTTGAACATTTCTTGGCTCTCAGTTTTCTCAAAGCACACAATAAATTGGATCTCAGAACTCCTTATTTCACCCATTCGAGCAGAGATAAATAGGTATTTCTCAGAGCTCCTCTACAGGGAGTTTTTATAGTCCTGGGCCTGGTGTGGACTTATACCAACAGCTGGTTACTGCTTGATGGGAAAAGTGAGCAGAGAGGGTCATTAAGTGACTTGCCCAGCATCATACAGCTGGTTAACCTAAGCTGTTAATTAAGCGAAACCATCTCTGAAATTGCCTGACTCTACTGACTACATCGTATAGTAGTTAGAAGGTCAGATTCTTCAGGAAGAAGGGCCTGAGTTTGAATAGCAGCTTAACTATTTACTAAAAAGGTTCAGCAAATTGCATAGTACATCCTAAGGTGTCAGTCATAGCCACTATGTCAAAATGTATTCCAGCCCCTCTTATATACATTCTTTTTCTTGCATTGTTGCTTTTATTTTTTTGTATTTTATTGTTTATACTTGCATACATTCCTGCTCACTTTTTTGGATATAGGAATGCAGCTCTAAAACCCAGTTTATTTAAAGTAAATAAGTAAAGTCTAGATTTGAATCAGCTACCCTAAATTATAATTCTTGATGGAGTTTGTTAGAGACAGACTAAAATAGTAGCTGAGAAATAACTTATAAATGATATCACAATATAAAAGCAAGACATGTTAATTTATTACAACTATAGTTAATTTAAACTGTACATTCTCATAGAAAAATATTAAAAGGAGAAATAAAATTATGCTCCATTGTATAGCCACCCACAGATGACTGTTTTGTTTCCTCTTATCCCGAGTTCTGTTGTTGTTTTTTAAACATAAATTGGTTATTTAGGAGCATTCAGTGATCCCAGCAGGAAGATTATGTAAAGGGATTTGGTAAAAGAGACTGTCACTTGATGTCTCTTCTTTTTTCCAATCACGAGCCTTCCAGTAACTCAGACTCTTCATGATTGTTTTTTTTTTAATTTCATTTAGTTATTTTTCAAGTACAGTTTTTTGTCTATTTCTCCCATCCCAGCCCCCCCACCCGTGCTCCCCACCTCCCTCCCATTTCCTCCCCCCCTAGTCCTCATCCATGTGTCCTTCATACTTGTTCCTCCAAATCCCTCCCCTTTTTCCCCCTTAAATTCCCTTCCCTCTCCCCTCTGGTCACTGTCCCCTTGTTCGCTATTTTAGTGTTTTTGTTTTTATTCTGCTTGCTTGTTTGTTTTGTTGTTTAGCTTCCTGTTAAAGGTGAGATCATATGGTATTTGTCTTTCACCACCTGGCCTATTTCACTCAGCATAATGCTTTCCAGTTCCATCCATGTTGTTGCAAAGGGTAGTAGCTCCTTCTTTCTTTCTGCTGCATAGAATTCCATTGTGTAAATGTACCACAATTTTTTGATCCATTCATTTACTGATGGGCACCTAGGTTGCTTCCATCTCTCGGCTATTGTAAATTGTGCTGCTATGAACATTGTGGTGCATAGGTTCTTTGATATTGATGTTTTATGATTCTTAGGATATAATCCTAGCAGTGGAATTGCTGGGTCAAAAGGCAGGTCGATTTTTATTTTTCTGAGAAAATTCCATATGTTTTCCATAATGGTTGTACCAGTCTTCAATCCCACCAACAGTGAACTAAGGACCCCTTTTCCCTACACCCTCTCCAATATTTGTTGTTTGTTGCTTTGTTTATGATAGCCATCCTGACCGGTGTAAAGTGGTATCCCATTGTGGTTTTAATTTGCATCTCTCTGATAGCTAGCGATATTGAGCATTTCTTCATGTGTCTCTGGATCTTCTATATGTCCTCCTTGGAGAAGTGTCTGTTCAAGTCCTTTTCCCATTTTTTAATTGGGTTAGATGTCTTCCTAGAGTGGATTTGTGTAAGTTCTTTGCTGCTCTTTTGAGAAAGAAGAACAAAGTAGGAGGGATCACAATACCTGATATCAAACTGTATTACAAGGCTACTGTAATCAAAACAGCCTGGTACTGGCATAAAAACAGGCACATAGACCAATGGAACAGAACAGAGAGCCCAGAAATCAACCCAACTCTCTACAGTCAATTACTATTCGACAAAGGGGGCAGTAACATAAAATGGAGTAAAGATAGCCTCTTCAACAAATGGTGTTGGGAGAACTGGACAGCTACGTGCAAAAAAATGAAACTTGAGCACAAACTTACACCATACACCAAAATAAATCAAGGTGGATAAAAGACTTAAATATAAGCCGTGACACCGTTAAAGTCCCAGAGGAGAACATCGGCAAGAAAATCTCAGATATTCCACGCAGCAACTTTTTTACTGCTATGTCCCCTAGAGCAAGGAATGTAAAGGAAAGAATAAACAAATGGGATCTCATCAAAATAAAAAGCTTCTGTGTGGCTAAAGAAAACAGTATTAAATTAGCAAGACAACCAACTGTATGGGAAAACATATTTGACAATGATCCCTCAGACATGATTGGTTTTAAAGCCGTAGAAAAGCAGCAGCCAGTTTCTGGGTGGCGTAAGGCCAGTTTGTAGCTCCTGCGTGTTAGTCTGTGCCCAACAGGACCTGTGTTGGGAGTGGGGAGGGCGGCCTGGCTGGGCGGCAGTTCCTGCGTGGGCAGCAGCGCACTGTCAGCGGCCACATGTTTTGTGAGAGGCGGTGGTGTGTGTGCTGGCTGCAGATGCCCACGCAGACGGGATGTGATTTTCTTGCTGGGCCTTGTGCGTCTGATCACAGCCAACATACTGTGTTCCCTTCAGGGGACTGAGGGTTGAGCTGGCCATTGCCAGCGGAGGTGGGGACAGGTAACTAGGACATCCTGTTGGTCACTGAATAGTTGAAAGAACTGAGGATGTTTTGCTTAGGCATCCTAGGAGAGCTGAAAGCGACTCCCATGTGGGAGAGAGAGCAGACTCATGGTCCCAGATGGCAAAACTGCGGACCTGGGAGAGCCCGAGGTGGGGGTTCTCCTGGCTTCCTGTAGTGAGTGTGTGTGTGTGCACACACATGTGTGCTATATGTCATCATCGGGATTGTGTAGTAATGCAGTGAACCTGAGGAAGGAGTAAGTTTCTGGTCATGGAAGGAATTTAAGCTGAGGCTGGGTGGATCCCAGCCAAGGGATTCTATAAAACACATTCCTTCACTGGACTCATTCATTCACTGGCTTACTCACTCTTTACTGAGCCCTTCCTGTGCGACCGGCACTGCCCAGTGAGACAGTGATCAATACGGTGGGGAAGAGTCGGATTGAATGACTGCAGAGACCCCACTGTGGCTGATGCTTCAGTTTCTTTCGCAGAAAGAAAATCGCTCTCTGAAAGATCGAAGGCCATAACTATGTACATGATGATTATTTATCTTCTCACTTTTGAACATAGAGGTCAACGTTGAATGTAGAGCCAGATTTTGATGGAGTACTGTTGATTTTTCATGCCAACTGCTTAATGCCATGCTGACTTCCATAAGTTTTTAAAGATTCAAGATATATTAGAAAGTATAACAAAAGAACGCTGCTTATTAAATGTAAGGAGATATTATATAGTAACATTGTTGGAGGTTCATTGTACTTAAAACATACATAGAAGAGTCAGGTTCTGAAGTTACACTTATTTTCCCGAGGGGCGTTCTAGTTTGTGTATACGGAGCTATGAATCTCCAACTTCAACATTTGTAAATTGACCGCATATCTGGGCTGATTCTGTTCCTGCCTGTAGCGATGAGATAGTACCAGGGGAGGAAGAGGCGCCAAGAACAGCCTGTGCAGATTGGGATGTGATTCTGGGGTCTCTGTGCACTTCGGCCTGTCAAGTAAGGCCAGCTGTTGGCTTGTTTCCTGTCCAGGTTTGGAATCCACCCCGTGGCCGGCAGGATGCCTGGCCAGCTTAATGTGCTGCTGGCAGAGGCCGGGGTGCCATACGATATTGTGCTGGAAATGGACGAGATCAACCATGATTTCCCAGGTAAGTGATGGGGCTGAGGGGGACATATTCTTAGTGTGACTAAAGCTATGCCCGTCTGAAGACATGGGTCGTGGGATCACAGAAGACCCCCTCGTCAGAGGAAGAGGAACCTGCTCCCAGTAGGGGTGCAGTGGAAGCCAAGTAAATGAAGCAGTACTGATTGAGGGTCACCAGATTTGGGAGCAGCATAGCTCACTGTGTCCCTGTGAGGAGAGCGGAGGGACACTGCAGGTCCTGGGCGGTGATGCCGAGCCAACAGTGCATGTGGGGTCTCGGAGCCCACCTGGCTTTGAAATCCAGGCCCTGACTCTCTCTCGTGATCTTGAACTAGGCACCCAGCCTCAGGTTCCTCATTTGTAAAATTGCTGTTGATGATTCAGTGTCTCATTTTTACAGTGTTTATTGGTTTCCAGTTGTATCGATTCACGGTCAGTAAAGCGGGTTTCTTTTTCCTTTGGGGCACTAGGACTTGGCTGGGTAAGGCGCTGAACTTCGTGGCTGTCCCTGGGTGTTGACTGTGAATGACATTTGGCCCAGAATGGTCTTTGTTAAAATTAAACCGGTTCCCTCTGGCAAGCATCCACTGTAAACCTAAAAAACATTGTTTATTAGAGAAAAACAGTGAAGTTGTGTGCACGTCTAGATTCACGTGGCATTTGGGGGGAGTCCTAGGTAGTTCGCATTATAGTGTCTAAGGAGGGCATTTAGGCCATCTTGGTTTTATGCCTCCTTTCCGATTTCATTGTTGCTTAATTATGTGTGAAAGCTGCTGGTTCCGGGGCTTATGGACACAGCTTTAACGTAGTACAGACTCAGACCATTGTCTTTTAGACATCAGATTGCATTTCACTGGTCACTTTAGAAGTTGAAGGTGGAATGCAAACATTATAAAATAATGTAACTGGCAAGATCACTTTGGGATAGTGAAAGAACCAGGTAAAGTCACATTAGGTAGATTCACTGTGCGGAGCGAAAGCATAACAGCGCACACGTTCCAGCCAGGATGCTCAGGTTTCGACGCAGGGCGTACACGCTTTAGCTGCGAGACGCTGGCTGAGTTCCTGAACCTGGTAAAGCTCTTTGTACAGCCCCTGGCAGGTACGTGGGTCTTGTAAATATCAGCTTTTGTTGTCACTTGTTTTATCAAGTCAGATCACAGTAATTTGCCTGAAAAGAAGTGAAAGCGACTCCCTTGAGGTCCATATTTTCCCTTTTTTCTTTTCTTATGCAGACACTGATTTGGTCCTTGTCATTGGAGCTAACGACACTGTCAATTCGGCGGCTCAGGAAGACCCCAACTCTATTATTGCAGGCATGCCAGTTCTCGAGGTCTGGAAGTCAAAGCAGGTACTGTCCAGACTTGGGCTCCGTTCTGTGGTCAACACTCTCTTCAAAGGCACATGCAGAGCTTTCCCGGGTCACTCAGTGAGAGGTGATGAGGCTTAGGACGCCCAGGGGCTGGAGTGTGTTTAGGGTCCAGTTCTCTCCAGGCAGCCTCTGTCCACTCCGTGGTCACCAGAGAATCGGAATGAATGCTCTGATCCTAAGTGGAACTCAATGGGACCGCGTGGACTGGTGAATGGAGTCGGTCACCCCTGCTGAGACGAGAGCTCTGGACCAAGTCTGACTGAACTCCAGCGTGAGTCCAGGGAAGCCGGTGGGTGGCTTCTCTCTGGGACAGTGAGTCAGCGTCACCGCCCTCGTAGATGCAGATGAGCGCATATCTCCATTTAATGTTATCGAAAGGGAGTTTCGATGTTGTTATGGGGTGTCTAGAAGGAAGGGGCCTCGGAAATCCAAACAGCAGCATGGTGTGCGGAAGCACATTCTGCACGCGCAGGTCACTTCTGAGCGAGCGGGTGGCCAGGCGGCAGGGAGCTCGGAGGCGCGTCAGTTCTCCTCTGCCCCAGCAGTGGGCCCGTCTCTGTGCCTCTCCCGAGCCATAGCTGCTTTTTAAGAACTATAATTACAGCCCTGGCTGGTATAGCTCCGTGGCTTGAGTGTGGGTGGCAAACCAAAGGGTCACTGGTTCGATTCCTAGTCAGGGCACCTGCCTGGGTTTCGGGCCAGGTCCCCAGTGGGGGACACATGAGAGGCAACTGCACATTGATGTTTCTTGTCCTCTCTTTCTCCTTCCCTTCCCCTCTGCCTAAAATGAATGAATGAATGAATGAGTGAATGAATGAATAAATAAATAAAAGAAAAAAAGAGCTATAATTACAGAATGTACACCTTCCCTTTCAGTTTGTTTCTCTTTATTGTGTATACATAAATTTAAAACTTAATATTTGTGGTACGTGAGTAGCTATGCTGTGTACTGGCTCATGTGACAATGATGAATTATTGCCGTGGTCCTTATTAACATTGGAGAGTTTGCAGAGTACATTACTGTACTAATGCTGTTTGAAGCGTGAGCCTGCTGCTTTCATTTTTGGATAGATGACCTGTCCTAGAGGACCACAGAAAGGCTCTTCATTTCTTAAGGACTGCCTGCATATTGAATAGGGCGTCACCCTCCATCATCTGCGTGATCATGAACACCTGTAGCTCATCAGCATTCGAGATGGACCGACCCCTCCCACTCTGTTCTGTGATGTTTTCAGTTATTAACACTCCCCTTGGGACAAGCTAGATTGCTCTTTGAGCTTTTGTGTTGGAACTTTCTGATATATTTCGCCAAAGTGTTAGAATAGGAATCATACCATGTTTCCCACTAAACTGCAGTTATTTAAAAATTTTTAGTAGAAGCCTATGCACTCTGTTCTCTTTAGCCCATTCATAGAAAAATGCTCATTTTTCTGACTAGTAAATACCATGCACAGTCTTTATGGACAAAAGTGCTAAGAAGAAAATCACTTATAATCTCATTCAGTGATAAAATATTGAAAAAACTTTTTCTCTCTTGGGTATAAAAGTATGGGGCCATTTAAAAAGTTAAAGTTCATACAACGTAAGCATGCATTACAAATGCTCCTTGTGTATTTGAAAAGCCTCTCAAAGCCTGTTCCACGTTAGGGTAGGGCCGTGTTCGTGTGCCTAGCACCTCCTAGCCAGGTCTGTTAAACGCACTCTCTGCCTTCCTCTTCGGCCCCCAGGTCATTGTCATGAAGAGGTCCTTGGGCGTTGGCTACGCCGCAGTGGACAACCCCATCTTCTACAAACCCAACACGTCCATGCTTCTGGGCGACGCCAAGAAGACGTGTGATGCCCTGCAGGCAAAGGTTCGAGAATCATATGAGAAGTAACTTTCAGAGGTGACGCTGTTGTCTAAGGAAGCCACCTCTCCAGTCATGGGAACAGGTGACGCGAGTGTCACTAGAAACAGCCGATACACATCTGGGGCAAAGCTCTTGGAAGATAAGGAAGGCCCTGAGGAAAGCAAAGCAGACTCAGGGGGACTTTTCAAGAGCAACTATCCCTCAGTTTTAAAAAAGGATCGAAAATTCTAAATATCTTTCTGTGCATATTTTTTTGGTGTTATGAATAAAGAGTATTTTCTAAAAGGAGAAAGAGCAGCCTCATTTTGTATGTATTCAATTTGGATTTTTAAAAATTCCTGCTCAGTAGCCAGTAACGTTTTAAGAAATTAAGTCTAGGATTTGAAGATTTAACCCAACCTGGATCTGAAAAATCCAATGCGGCGTAAACATCACAGGCACCTGTGTTTATGGTTTTTCAACAAATGTGACTAATTTGAAACTTTCATCGACTCCTGAGCCACCTCTGACCCCTAACCGTAATCTGGATCATCCATATCACACTGGCTTCAGTTTTCCAGACTGTGCTTTCAATTGTAGATTTCTGGGGTGTGTTTTCTCACTTCTACTTTAATTACTACATTGAAGGATGAGGTGATCTTCCAGCGATGCTGGAAGCAGTTAAATCATCCGCTTTGTGTGTTTCATTAGAACACCAGTGAAACATAATGTGAAATCAGTATTAGTTGTATTTTTTAAAACCCCATTTGTAATTGGAGCCCTCTTTAATTTCAATCAGTTTATAATGTGTAGTACTATACTAAAGTGCACTTGAATGGAATTCAACTATTTGCCTAATAAAATGAGTTCATTATGTTTGCACAGTGCTGTAGCCATTGTCTCTGGCGACAAAATGCTAACGTTGAGTAGCTCTGCTTGTTATTAATATTTGGGGAAGACTTGCTACTATAAAATAAATGAAATTAACATGTATTTAAAGTTCCCTTCTCAAGAAATTGTTAGTTTTATTTCCCAAATCAGAGTGTGCTTTGAAGTCTTATGTAATTGATCACGTTTGGGAGAAATGGTAGCACTTTTTTTAGCTACCTTTTTGTTTGAGCACCAGTGACGATCACATCTTTGTTTTGCAGTAGAAGTGTAGATTTTTTGTGTGCGTATGACTTTGCTGTATTGCCAGAAGCTCTCTATAGGTTGGATGTGTGATGATCATTTACAATATGTGTCTCTCTATGTAATGGGGCACTGAGTTTCTTGAAACAATTATTAACACATAAGAACTATCTCTAAAACAATGACAAAGAAATAACTGGTGAGAAGGTTTTTACTGTGATGCTCATGTTTCCTGAGTTTACAACTCACAATACCTGTTGGTTTGGCCAATTTCTGTTTTGCTATGCGTGAAATTAAGGTTGTCTGTATGTGTGTGTATTTGTTATAAGGCAGAAATGACTCCTTTTTAATTTTTAAGTGATAAGTGCAATTTGTTAAGGGGGCTGAGGTTGTAAGTAACCTCAAGACTGAATTATATTATGAGAGTTCTACTGGAAGAAAGTAGGTAGTATCGCTGTGCCTGTTTACTGTTCTCAGGGTAGTTGTAGATTTTTCTGGAGAGCAGCAGCTTGAATTTTTTTTTTTTTTAGGAAATTCCTCTATTCATTGTAAACCAAAGGAATTATGATTGGCTTTATTAATTTATTTTCATCATTTACATGAAACATTTTTAAAATTTAGGACGATGTCATTCTTTGATACTCAGTAATCCTGTGTTATCAATTTGTGTTAGTTGAATTGAAAATTTATGCTCTGTTTTTTTTTTTTTATTTTACTTTTTGGTTAGGATGTTTGAAGAGTTTTTTGACACATAATTTCTTAAGTCAATACTCCAAAAGATTGTTGGTCTTGGATTATTAATTATGGTGAAGTCCAAAATCAACAAGCAATTTCCATCTCTTATTTTTATTTTTTTAAAATCCTCACTCGAGGATATGTTTATTGATTTTAGAAAGAAAGAGAGAAAGAGACAGACAGGCAGACAGTCATGGATGTGGAGAGAGATCGGCTGCCTCCTGTGCACGCCCCGACTGGGGGTCCAACCCAAAACCTCGGTATGTGCTCTGACCAGGAATCGAACATGGAACCTCTTTTTGGTGTATGGGATGATGCTCCAACCAACGAAATCACCAGGGCTCATCTACCCTATTTTTAAAGAAGGTTTTATTTATTTATTTGTTTGTTTGTTTGTTTATTCGTTCATCCATCCATCTATTCATTTATTTATTTATTTATTTATTTACAGGGGAAGGGAGGGAGAAAGAGAAGGAGAGAAACATCAACACGTGATTGCCTCTCATGTGGCCCCCACTGGGGACCTGGCCTGAAACCCAAGCATGTGCTGGGAATCCAACCAGCAACCCTTTGGTTCACAGTCTGCGCTTAGTCCACTGAGCTACACCAGCCAGGGCCTATCCTATTTTATTGTTCCTCTTTTTCTGATCGGTCATACAACTGATAAGAAATGACTCACTTTTATTCTTGTATTGTTGACTGTATCTTTTTGCTATTCGAATATAAATATCTCTTTTTATTCCTTAGTATTCTATAGTCTGGTGTGGGATGAAAAGAAAAAGTCACTCTTAGGCAGTGAAAAGGTAATATTGATTTATCTTTTAGGCCTTATTAACCACCCTTTATTTTTTCCTTCTTAAATCGAGAGCCTGTGATGAAGTGACTCATCTAAGGAAAGGGCATAGATAAATAAATATATAATTTTTATATATTATAGGTCTACCTTTCTAATTTTGTACAGATTTCTTTAAAAATTTTTTTTAACATTCTGTAACTTCTTTTTCTAGTAATTGGAATAGAGAGGACAGTCACTTTGTGCTTTCTGGCCTTCCCCACGTCAGGGATAGCAGTTAGATACTTGGTAGAGGATACGGAAAGTGGGCCATGGCCGCTCCGATTCTATTCAGGTCATGACCACCCTGTCTTGTCGATTTTGCTGTTTTCTCATCCAGTGCAAATGTGGGATAGATTACAGATCAGTCAGCTTTAGGGTTTAGTTCAATTTATCTGATCACATACACTTTTCTGAAAAATAATAACTCATAACCCCTGGGTTCATCTGACTTACAGGCAAATGCTCTAAATCCCCGAAGGCCCGAGTCTTGCGAAGTAAAGCATTTTAGTGCTGGAAAGTTGGAGAATAGTTCAAATATCTAGTTTATAGCTCTGGCCAGTTTTTGAGAGCCTTTGCAAACAAATGTTATAGGGTCAGAATGGTAAAAATTCCCCAAAACTCTTCACAGGAGTGGCAACAACTTGCGTAATCCAGCTGCTCTTTAGATTCTCAAAAGAATTAAGTTAATTAATAAATAAAGAGGAACAAAAACTTTCTTATGAAACTTTGTTTAGCAAAGCAGCAGAAATGGTAATACTGAATTTCGAAGCCCTCAAGATCGCCGTTCTTAAACTCTTGTCTCTTAGGGACATACTGGGCCAAGGAACTGAACTGTGTTCTTCATTATTCAAGTGATTATAGACATTGAGCACAGTGTGTGGTGTAATTCTGGATGGAAATCTTTTGGATTCTGGTAAAACAATGATGTAGGTGATGAGACAAATTAGATATTTGAAACTCTTACATGTAATTATTAAGATAGTGTTAGGAAAAAATAGGTCATAATAGATAAGTTCTTGGGGCAAGAGTCAAAATCATACTGGAGAGGCAGAGGAAGGTCAGTGCATGATTATGGAGAACTTTAAAGTCTTGAAGCCTAAGTAATGGGGAGATAATACATCTTTGTCATGTTGATTGTCAAACCCTTGTTCTATATAAAGTATTTGCACCCCACATTCTTGCCAAAGATTACAACCTTGAACTTTGCTTTCCAGTTCTTTCCAAAGCCTATTTGTGAAGCGTAATACTCATGGAAAGAGTGCCTCACAGATGTGAAGTCCACTTTGCCCCTGGGTATCTCACATCCCACCCGCAGATCCAAGCAGACCCTCAGGAACTGGGCACTTGGACAGCGTTGTTTGGGTCACGGTGGATGACGGAGACGTGAGGTGCTGGGATGGAGAGGGTCTGAGCGATGCAGCCCCCCAGGATGACTAAGTTCAGGGGCAGGTCCACATGGCTGCCATAGAGTGGCAGAGAGCAGTAGTGCTTGTCTTGGGCTGTGAGAATTGAGGCGCGGCTGTGATTTGGAGTGTGCAGGTGACTCATAGGGTGATGGTGGCTAGTTCCTTACTGCCAGCATGGAGTGAAAGGGGAAGTGAGAACTCAGAGAAGGTGGTTGGAGTTGCTTCTGGATGCTGTTGTACAGGTGGAACACGAGGATCTAACCAACCTTTTCTCTGCCTCCTGCCCCTGAACGAAAAATGAAAACCACGGTGATGGGATGAGATGTAGGGAATAGCAATGACCCATGGACTGGGACCATGTAGACACTGAAGCAGGCCATCATTTTCTACCCTACTTTGTTTTTGGTTTACTATAGGAAAGGCAGAACCTGGAAACTCCTACAATAAGGTGTACAACTCGACTTTGCCCGGGAACTTTGGTCTAAACCAGGCCTTCTCTGGAACTGATTTTCTAAAAGCCAGTGAGTTGCTACAAGCCAGCCTTGTTTTCCCTCTTCCTCCTCCCTGGAGGGAGCGCTCTTTCCACTGGAGCACGGTGCTTCCACTTCTGCAGCAGGGCCTTGTGCCTGGTCGGCTCTCCTGAGACCTTGTGAGCCTCATCCTGCCCCCCAACACGGGCAGTGGCCTTGCTGGGTTGGAGCTGCATGGGCCCACCTGGAACTCCCCAGAGGCCTGGGAGAGAGGGGTCTAAATAACCCCCTTCTAGCATGTCAGGACGGAAGTGATTTTCCCCCCACGTGCTCCCTCCCCCCTTTCTGCAGTTTCAGTTTCCATGGTCAGTCGTGGTCTGAGAATATAAAATGGAAAATTCCAGAAATAAACAGTTTATCAGTTTTAAATTATGCACTGTTCTGAATAGCCTGATGAATTTTTGTGAGTCCTGCTCTGCCCGCCCCCCTGCAGATGTGAATCACCCCTTTGTCCAGCATCTCCACCCTGTACATGATGAGGAGCCGTTGTGGTTGTCAGATTGACTTTGTGTTCAAGTAACTTTTATTTTACTTAATTATGGCCCCAATGCCCAAGAGTAGTGATGCTAGCAATTCAACTGTTTCAAAGGGACGTGCTTCTTTTAAGTGAAAAGTTATGTATGTAGAGGGAAGACCAATGTATGGCAACATACAGGGTTGGGTACTCCCCCTAGTTTCGGGCATCCACTGGATCATAGCTCTCTTGGATAAGCTGGGACGGATACCCTCTGAGTTTGCTGGGGTACCATGCTTCAGAAGTTACTCGTTAGAAAATGCATTTTAAAGGTTTCAGGGCTTTACTGATTCATGGAAAATTTTGTTCTTGCAAATTATAGCTAACTCTGTGGTTTTGTCCCTTTGGTCTATAAATGGGCATGAGATTTAGACATACTTCAGGTCCCCCCTTGTGTCTGATTGGGGATAACTGCTTCACTGCTGTTGGCTATAATTATGAAACTTGGAAACAAGTTTCATAGAGATTAGAATCATTAGTGTAAATGAGACCAATAGCACATTCAAAGACTATAACAGAAAACCTGATGAGCATTCTGTGCCCATAAGAATTTTGAAGTACCTATGCTGGCTTTGGTCCTTGCTGTAAGCATCTTATCTCGGATGTTGCCTGTACCAGCGGCACCAAAGCGTGGATTTTGGAGATGAGCCCAATACTAGTAGTTACAGAATAGCATTGCTATGGAGGTGTGACTGTTTTCTGCATAACAAGTCACTTTTGGTCACAGTTAT